GAACACAGGGAGAATTGAATACCAACACTCAGTCCCGGAGGCTGTGTGGCTCTGACCAAGTCACTTAACCTCTCTGGGTGTGACAGGATCTGGGCCTGTTCCTGAGATCCTGCTGGGTGTGCCTAGGAAGTGCATTAAGCTGCCCTGTGATGGGCAACAACCACGTAAGATTGGGTCAGGCTTGGAAATCTTGGGGAGTAGGCAGGGGTGAATTTCCAAGTCAGCTGCTCCCTGGACTGGAAGCTGGGTCTCCTTAGCCATAGCCTGTGTCCCCTGGGCCATGGGGGATTAAGGAGGAGGTCTGAGCTCCAGCGCAGGAAGAAAAGTAAACTATGCGTTTTTTTTTTTGCTACTATTCCCTCTGCCTATAACACCCTTCCACCCCTTGCTTGCCTTGTTAACTCCCTCTCATTCTGGCTTAGATGCCCCCTCCTCCTGGGAGCCTTCCTTGATGGCCCCTGACCAGCGTCTCTTCCACAGTCTCCTGAGCTCCATGACAATAATGATTGCTCACAATTAACGAGCGCCTGTTATGTGCCAGGCACCGCTCCAAGCACTGGACTCACCACCCTACGAGGTGGGCACTGTTATTATTCCCATGTCACAGGTGGGAAGACTGAGGCCCAGAGAGGTGAAGTTGGTTGCCCAGGTCACACAGCCAGGACTTCAGTCCTGCAGTCTGATTCCCGAGTCTGAGTTCTCTGCTGGGTTCTACTGCTTTTTTGATAAACGAATGAATGAATGAGTGAATGAATGAAGCCCTTGGGGAGTGGGGGACAGCAGGGCCCCACTCCTGCTTAGAGCCCCTCCAATCTGCTCCCACAATTGCAGTGCCGTTACCCAAGAAGAGCCTTGTATGGGCACACATCTGGCTGGGCACCAGTGGGGAGTGAGCCATGGAGGGAGACAGCGGTTGGGGGCTGTGGCCGGCTTGAGGGTAGGGGTGGGGGTGGTGGGGGGTTTCACTGTTCCCAGGGATCCAGGAATCTGCCAGGGCCTGAACAGGCCCCTACTGTCCCGGGGCTTATAAAACCGCACAGCTGCCCTCAGCCTTTGGGGGCTGTGGCCGGCCAGAGGGGAGAGTGGGCTTGAGGGTAGGGGTGGGGGTGGTGGGGGGTTTCACTGTTCCCAGGGATCCAGGAATCTGCCAGGGCCTGAACAGGCCCCTACTGTCCCGGGGCTTATAAAACCGCACAGCTGCCCTCAGCCTGGGAGTCTGTCCCAGGGCCAGGCCTGGTCTCCATAAAGAGGGAGAGAGGAGTGAGCCAAACCACTGCAAGACATGGGCCCCAGCTCAGTGTGGGAATGGGGGCTTCGGGGGTAGTGGAATGGGGGTGGGGGTACTGAAGAGTGGGTCACGGTTTGATTCCGGTCAAGGGCACATGCCAGGGTTTTGGGCTTGCTCCCCAGTAGAGGGCATGCAGGAGGCAGCCGATCAATATTTCTCTCACCATTGATGTTTCTATCTCTCTCTCCCTCTTCCTTTCTCTCTGAAATCAATAAAAATATATTTTTTAAAAAGATGATGGACATCCATGATCTCTAATAGGTTCTTTGTTACCTCTTGTAAAACCCTCCTTACTGTTCCTCTCCATCCCCCCGCCCCAGTCTCCAGGCAACTATTAATTTGTTTTCTGTCACTATGATACTTTTTTTTAAAATCCTCACCGGAGGATATGTTTTTATTGATGAGAGAGAGAGAGAAATATCAACGTGTGAGAGAGAAACATCGATTGGTTGCCTGACTGGGGATCGAACCCACAACCGTTTTGGCGTCCAGGATGACGTTCCAACCAACTGAGCCACCCGGCCAGGGCTGCGATTCGTTTTTATTTTCTGGAATTTTGTAGAAATGGAGCCATACAGTGTGCCCTCTTTTGGTCTGGCATACATATTTTGAGGTTTACTTACGTTATTGTATGTATCAATATTTCACTCCTCTT